ACTAAACACAATATTGCAAATTACCCGAGCACAACAATGGCGGAGAATATTAGGTGCGTTTCGGTTTGAAGGGTGGGGCAGCCGTTGTGACTATACTGAGACCTTAGAACTATATCTCAAGGTGTGTGGCGCATTTACGTTATAGATGTCTATGGGCTCCAGTAACCACTTAACACCAGGTGGGCTGTGAGCTCGTCCACACATCTCAGCAATAAAAAAAAAAAAAAAAAGCGTGAGAGCAGACGTAGACACTAACGCGCATGCGTACTTGTCAGTACCCAGGGAGGAAAAGTTAGACTTTCTTCCCTGTACAGCGGGACGAAAACCGAACTTCCGGCATAGGTAGGAGAAAAAAAAATTTATTCAAGTAACCATTGTTCTGAGAAGAATAATTAAGTCCAAATATTTTTACTCTACTCTTCTCTTACAAACGAAGAGCGTGGTATGGACATGTGAGAGAAGATACATGTGACTAGAAGATGTATGGAAATGGTAGTGCAAGGTAGAGGTCGACCGAAACAGACATGGATGGAGTGTGTGAATGACGATATGATAGAGAGAGGAGTGAGGGTTAAGATGACGGCTGATAGAGAAGAATGGAACAGAAAAATTCGCTGTGCCTACCCCACCTAGTGGGATAAGGTCGACACAAAGAAGAAGAAGAAGAAGTTAGATATTTTTAGAACCATTTAAAATAAATAAAAACAAAAAGGTTACTCCAATGAGTTATCATTGATATTGCATAATAATATAAAATATGTATATCATGTTTATATTGTGCGTCATTATGTGCACGCAAAATTCACAACAAAACCAATTAATCAAACGAAAGTTAAATGATCACGTCATTAATTCGGTAAGTGTTCTACATTTATGTTTGCGGCTTGTGAAAATCTTATTAATGTCATTATGTCAATGTCAGTTAAGTGCGACGCCATTTTGTAAACGCGTTTCGGCCATTTTGATGATTTTTTTTTCTTTTTTTTATTGCTTTTGTAGGCAGACGAGCATACGGCCCACCTGATGGTAAGTGATCACCGACGCTCATGGACGTCAGCAATGCCAGGGGCAGAGCCAAGCTGCTGCCTACCATTAAGTACTCTCCGCAAGCCTCGTTTGAAGAAGGACATGTCATAGCGCTCGGAAAACACCGTGGAGGGGAGTTCATTCCAAAGCCAAGGGTACGTGGCAAAAAAGATCTTTGGAAACGTACTGTTGATGAACGCAGCGGTTCCAGATAATATGGATTCACGCATAGCCATTCTCCTTATTGCACTAATTCGGTATGATTATTATAATTTTTTTTATTGCTTGAATGTGTGGACGAGCTCACAGCCCACCTGGTGTTAGTGGTTACTGGAGCCCATAGACATCTACAACGTAAATGCGCCACACACCTTGAAATATAAGTTCTAAGGTCTCAGTATAGTTACAACGGCTGCCCCACCCTTCAAACCGAAACGCGTTACTGCTTCACGGCAGAAATAGGCGAGGTGGTGGTACCTACCCGTGCGGACTCACGAGAGGTCCTACCACCAGTGATTACGCAAATTATAATTTTGCGGGTTTGGTTTTTATTACACAATGTTATTCCTTCACCGTGGAAGTCAATCGTGAACATTTGTTGAGTACGTATTTCATTAGAAAAATTGGTACTCGCCTCGGATTCGAACACCGGTGCATTGCTTCATACGAATGCACCGGACGTCTTATCCTTTATGTCACGACGACTTCTCGAAATTTCGACCTTATGGAACAAGATGCCATTCAATTTTATGCCAAATGAATTATAAGCCCGTGTGCTCAGTTATACCAAGAAAAAAATACAGTACTTTCGAGGCTAATCTGTGATATCTTGACCCAAAGCTATTCTACGTCTAAGATAAATATCCATAATACATTTGGGTTCGGTGAATTCAGCATTTAGTCCTGCCTCCGGTGTTTGTTTCCGTATCTGTTTCAATAAGGCAAACTGGACGTAATCCAAATTAAATTTCCGTTTATACTAAATCATCTCCCAGGTTGTTTACACTTGGACGCTGTCCAGATTGGGATAAAGGAGTACCCTATATATTACCTACCCTTTAACGAATTCAATTTTTTAGCTACATTCATATGTAAAGTCGAATTTACTGTATGTATGACTGTCCTACCCTACATTATAGAATCGGATGGCTACTCCTCTTCAGAATAAGTTTTTATTTTTTATTGCATAGATGGATGGACGAGCTCACAGCCCACCTGGTGTTAAGTATTTATCGGAGCTCATTGACTATAACGTAAACGCCGCCTCCCATCTTGAGATATAAGTTCTAAGGTCTCAGTATAGTTACAACGGCTGTCCCACCCTTCAAACCGAAACGCATTACTGTTTCACGGTGGGCGGTAGTACCTACCCGTGCGGACTCACAAGATGTCATACAACCAGTAATTACGCAAATTATAGTTTTGCGGGCATGATTTTTATGACACGATTTTATTCCTTCAGCATAGAAGTCAATCGTGAATATATTTTGTTAAGTACGTATTTCATTAGAAAAATTGGTACCCGCCTGCGGGATTCGAACACCGGTGCATCGCTATACGAAGGCACCGGACGTGTTATCCTTTAGGCCACGGCGACTACTAGATCTAGATTACTGATCCCTAATGCGGACTCAGCACACCGCCACCAGTAATTATTCAATTCTATTCGTAAAACGCAACGTTATCGCCATCTGTGGAATTATTTGAGATGATTCCATCATCACGTTTTTACTATCGCACCACCCGCCACCGGAGTAGAGTTCATCCATACTACCTGGAGCCACTGCGTTCATCCACAGTACATTTCCAGAGATATTTTTTGCCACGTACCATCCAGCTTTGGAATGAGCTCCCCTCCACGGTGTTTCCCGAGCGCTATGACATGTCCTTCTTCAAACGAGGCTTGTGGAGAGTATTAAGCGGTAGGCAGCGGCTTGGCTCTGCCCCTGGCATTGCTGACGTCCATGAGCGACGGTAACCACTCACCATCAGGTGGGCTGTATGTCCGTCTGCCTACAAGTGCAAGAAAAAAAATATGGTAATAAGTAATAAGTGCGTATTTAAAAGATAGCCGGCAAGTAAAAGCTTGCAATTTCTAAAACTACAATCAACATACGCCTACCCGCAAATTTCACACATGCATTTTCACAAACAACATCGCGATACGTAACGTTGTTCCCGCGATAACAAAGTGGCCGGAGCGTATTTTGGGACGACAATTTCCAGAGTAAAATTTCGAGCTTAGATAAGCTGCCGTTCTGATAATTACCGTTACACAGGACCGGATCTAAGGAGAACGGAAGTGTAGCTTAAACGGCCGGTTAAGAAAGGTTGTTTTTATATTGTTCAGACAGTGGCTTAAATTGCTCGATTGTGGTTTTTTTTTATTGCTTTAATGAGTGGACGAGCTCACAGCCCACCTGGTGTGAAGTGGTTACTGGAACCCATAGACATCTACGACGTAAATGCGCCACCCACCTTGAGATATAAGTTCTAAGGTCTCAAGTATAGTTACAACGGCTGCCCTACCCTTCAAACCGAAACGCATTACTGCTTTACGGCAGAAATAGGCAGGGCACGTAGGGTACCTAGTCGCGCGGACTCGCAAGAGATCCTACCACCAGGAACAAAAGTATGGGTAAAGGTTCATTGTGAATGCTGAATTTGTATTACTGACTAGATCTATGACGAGATACCCGAGGTGGTGGATCTACCGTAGAGACACGTGAAGTACGTGGCACCACTCCCTCCCTTTGGTGAAGGAAATTGTCACTGTTGCAAGACGCGGGTTTAAGTGGTTTAAGTTTACTAGACCGCTGAGGTTAACTATTCACTAGAGCGTCGAGATAGGGGGGTCGACCGCGGTAACACTCTAACCAGCCAACAGAATCTTTTAGGAGGTTCACTGGTGGTAGGACCTCTTGTGAGTCCGCACAGGTAGGTACCACCACCCTGCCCATTTCTGCCGTGAAGCAGTAATGCGTTTCGGTTTGAAGCAGGGGCAGCCGTTGTACTGTAAAAACGGAGACCTTAGAACTCATATCTCAAGGTAGGTGACGGCTTTTACGTTGTAGATGACTATGGGCTCCGGTGACCATCTATCAGGTGGGCAGTGAGCTCGTCCATCCACCTAAGCAATAAAAAATAAAATAAGAGTTGATCTCGTAGTGAGGAACCATTCTCGCAGACTCCGCTATCTCGTGAGGACTGCGAAGCCACTGTCTGGTCAGCGTATTCTAAATCAAAATCAAACCGTTCCAGAAATGATTCTAAATACGACCCTGCCTTCGTGACTCTCAAAACGTGGAGCCTCAAAATGCTTTGAGGCGTAACATGGGAGCATTTTACTCCCATAGCTTTTGTTCGTAATTCGGAGATTGTTTGAGAGTTTAAAAATTTGCGACGTCATTTTGAAGCGTGGTTTTTGAGACATCCGTAGCGTGAGACACTTGGTGTTACTAGTCACGTGTTCAACGATGGACTGACTCTTCTTCTTTTACTTCCGAGTCGATATCTTCATTTCTGAAATTCGTATCTAGCATTTCTTTATTACCTTTGTAAGCAGACCAACATACGGCCCCTGCATGGTAAGTAGTTACCGTCACTCATGGACGTCAGCTATGTACCACTGAGTACCCTCCACAAGTCTCGTTTGAATAAGGACATGTCATAGCGCTCGGGAAACACCGTGGAGGGGAGCTCATTCCTTAGTCGGATGGCACGTGGCAGAAAAGACCTCTGGAAACTTACTGTCGATGAACGCAGCCGTTACAGATAATATGGATGAACTCTGCTCCGATGGTGTCTGCGTAGGCGTCTAAATAGATAGGCTTTAAATAATCCTATTCTAGTCCCTCGATGCATTTCTATCGACAATCTCGCATTACTAGTACTTATTGTAACAATATTTTTTTCTATCGATAATCTCCCATCACTAGTACTAATAATTATAATAGTACTTTTCTCTTTTACAGGTAACGTGGCGTCGAATAAAAACTCACGTAATCTGTAAGTGGAACTGCAGAAGAGCTAATGAACGTAGAAGTAAGTATCACTAGAAGTGACATAGTTATTGAGAAAATTATTTTTGTTCTCAATATACCAAAAGACTATTATTATATTGAATTGATTAGTGACTTGTGTGTGTATTTTTTTATTTATTTATTGCCGTATAGGCAGACGAGCATACCGCCCACCTGATGGAGAGTGGTTACCGTCGCTCATGGAGTCATGGCTCATTTAAGTGTTTGTAGTGAAAATTATACATAGACATTATTGACATTGCCTATGCTATACCGAAGATTTACTTACAACCTCTAAAGGTAGTTCATAAATACAAACGTATTTAAGTACTTGAATTTTTTTTATGTATTTGCAATTTTTATAAGAAAAAAAAAATACTATTCAGCTAAAAACTCAATCAGATGTATCGTCAATATCACTTAGATCACTTAAAACCGTCTCTTCCGATTTCTATAAGATCATCTATCTATTTAATACGAATACATTGAATTGCTTTTTACGAGAGCAACTGCGTTCTTTGAGATTATTTTGTGGTTTGCAGCTAGCATTTATCGTACAATAATTGCACGGTCGTGGTTCTGAAACAACGTTTTGAACTATGTTTATTATGTCGTGTGGTGAAAGGCTGGTTTAATGGTTTAAGCGATATTTTACAAATTTATCGCTTCTTACATCTTTCTCTTTCTCTTTATCTTTATCTTTATCTTTATCTTTATCTTTCTCTTTCTCTTTCACTTGGCTTTCTATTTGGCTGATTTAGAAACCTATTACCCCAGACAGCGTTACCCAATCAACAATATCCAAATGAAACTGTGAAGTGAGTTTAAAATTTGAAAAAATTCACATAACAAAAAAACTTCTTCAACCATTTGAATGGGGCAAACTTAATTGAAGTTCAATTAAAAACATCGAACTGTTGATGCTAATACCAAATAAAACGGACCTTTGATTACAAATAGAAAGGTTGCGAAAGGCCGCTTAAACTAAATAGCCTTTCACTTCTCAATATGACTCTTCCAGATTTAAATATATATTCTGTTTTATTGTCCTCGTAGGCAGACGAGCTTGCACCTGAGCACCTCGTGGTGAATGGTTACCGTCGCCCATGGACGTCAGCAGCGTCAGAGGCAGAGCCAAGCCGCTGCCTATAGCCTAGTATCCTCCACGAACCTCGTGAGAAGTCAGACATGTCACTAACAACTCCCCGGGAGGCCAATTCGTTCCAAAGCCGGATGGTACGTGGCAGAAAAGATCCCTCCAAACGCACCGTGGACACTTTACATTCAAAAAAATTTCCGTTTGCGTAATTTTATCTGAAACACGCAGGGCTAGTAAAACATCCCGTTAACATTAACAAAATGTCGCGCGTTTCGTTGTGTGGTCTCAGTCCTAGCGGGGTGACAACAGTGTGAAAACCACCAGCCCTTTTGGTGATAATTCACAATTTGGAGTGCTCAAGTTATCTCGACATCGAAACAGAAAAACAGGATTGTTTCGGTTACTGGTGGTAGGAGCTTACTGGGGGTGGTAGGTGCCTATTTCTGCTGTGAAGCAGTAATGAGTTTCGGCTTGTAGGGCGAGGCAGCCGTTGTAATTATACTGAGACCTTAAAACTCCTATATCTCAAGGTGGGTAGCGCAGTTACGTTGTAGATGTCTAGGGAATCCGGTAACCACTTAATACCAGATAGGCTGTGAGTTCGTCCATCCATCTATGCAATAAATAAAAAATTCGTGTGGGCTTATAAAATACCCTAATTGCTCTATAGTCTTTTTCTGAATAGGATTTTCATTACGAGATTATATTCCTTCATATTGGACGCTGTGGCACGTATAGGTAGGCTGCGACTTCGCTGTACACCTGCTATTGCTAACGTCCATAAGTGAGAGTAACCACTTACCATCAGACGGGCCGTATCCTCGTCTACCTTCTAGGGAATAAAAAAAAAGTATCTTTATTTTAATGATATCGGCATGCACGGCCTTATTCTTTAGGCCACGACGCTTTAAAAGATTTTGAGTATTAAGAGGGCGTCAATTGTATACTTAATTCATATTTCAGTCTGACCCAGGAAGTGGTACCACACATAGCGGTAAGCCGGAACTGCACCCGCGAGAGCGCACATCGCTCTACACGATCAACAGTTTTACCCTCCCGAAGTACTGTTTGCAGACAAAATTAAAGATCTTATCAACTACCCTCTTCGTATAGAACATTTTAATTATTATTTTTTTCGATTTCGAGAATGTCTCTATCAATTTAATTAGATTATTGGCGGTAGGACCTCTTGTGAGTCCGCACGGGTAGGTACCACCACCCTGCCTATTTCTGCCGTGAAACAGTAATGCGTTTCGGTTTGAAGGGTGGGGCAGTCCTTGTAACTAAACTGAGACCTTAGAACTTATATCTCAAAGTGGGTGGCGCATTTACGTTGTAGATGTCTATGGGCTCTAGTAACCACTTAATAAGCAGGTGGGCTGTGAGCTCGTCCACCCATCTAAGCAATAAACAAATAAAAACTTCCAAGAGTTAATTTGCGTTGTTTTATTGTGATCTTAGACGAACAAAAGAGTTGACGTTTGATCTGTCATAGAGTGGTTAGTGGAGCCCATGTACATCAAAACATGTATTTTTTCACGGACCTTGAGACACCGAACCTTGGGCCGAAATCTCAATCTCACCCTGCAAAGGCTGTTCCAGATGTTAAGTGCTTATTTAAGCCTGTTCGGGTACCAAAGTGCCATGTCTCAACGATGGCGACAATCAGTGATTGGCTGTGGCTTCTCATAAAGTGGAATTAAAATTAATTCAATAATCAATTTAATCTCAAAAATAAACCACGATGTGTACCTAGTATTTCTTGTAGTGTTTCTATCACTAGTATGTTTACATACTCGCCTAGTATTTATTTCGCAAAACAAACTTACTTCAGGAATTATTTGTGAACCAACTAGAGGCTAAAGCGCCGTTGACTCAGTCGCTCTTTAGAATCTGACTTGAACAAATATGCCGATTCCTATGTAAAGTCGAAATAAAACATTAACCACGCGTTTAAGAGGAAATATTATCTCTCAAATATAAATTTCTTCATCTCTTACGTCTTAAAATAATTAATAACAATCCCTTATAAAGCTTGTTGAAAGTAATACAAAACCACGCTAAGTCCACGAAATGGCTGCTATAAATTATTCAAGATGGCGTCGCAAGATGGCGGCGTAAACATGGCAGGCGCTAATGGCGCGCAATTTATTTGATGTGTTTAAGAATAGTGCTTATAGTTTATTTTGTTGCATTTGATAATCTTGTTTATTTAGTTTTTGTTTGACAATATACGAGTAATACACTTTTTATGTTGCCTGAATTAAATTAAATGTTTATACCAAGTCTTGAAATTTATGATTAGTAATTGAAGACATGAGTGGATGAAGGGGATTTATGTTAAAATTTGTTAATTTTGAGAAAGCGGGCAACAAACTTTTGTTTCGTACACCGATGGTTCGAATAATGTTGCTCCGAATTTGCATTGACATATATCTCAATTCTATGGTAATAACTTTGATGGTACAACAAATTATATACTAACTATAATTATAACTATAGATAATTGTTAGTGTTTCACGGAAAAACTGCTTGACAGTTTTTGATTGAGCTCCACAAAGTAATAGCTTATACATAAGAATATAGTCCAAGATCCCAGGGCCACCAGACGTCACGTATTTTCTGACGAACGAAATGTGGCCGACTGCATAGTGTTAGTATGTACTAAGTACGCATGCCTACCTGCTAGCTTGCTTAGACGGCCAATTTTCGGGTATCAGGTAATCAGGGTACATAAAATCATTACGTACTTCACGTAAATTCTGAAAGCTGATTTTTACCCTATATTTTAGGCAACATCCTCAAAAATAAGTCGCCAATACTCCCAGACACTTTCCGTCAGCCGAATTGCTTTGCAGACGCTTTANGTATGTACTAAGTACGCATGCCTACCTGCTAGCTTGCTTAGACGGCCAATTTTCGGGTATCAGGTAATCAGGGTACATAAAATCATTACGTACTTCACGTAAATTCTGAAAGCTGATTTTTACCCTATATTTTAGGCAACATCCTCAAAAATAAGTCGCCAATACTCCCAGACACTTTCCGTCAGCCGAATTGCTTTGCAGACGCTTTAAAGCTCCCAAAATAATTACCTAACTTCACGTAAATTCTGATGCTTCATTTTTATATATGTCTACCAGACAACTATTTTAAGACCTCCTACAAAAAGACAGACCAATCCAAGGGGCCAATCATCCCCTAAATTCAATTTTAACACCTCTGTAGGTAAGAGTGCGAGGGCATTATACACGCGCATGAGACTGAGTGAGACATCTAATAGGATATATTGACTTCTCTGTCTCTACGTGACGTCTGGTGGCCCTGGAATCTTACTTTAATAGCGCATAAGCTTAATATAACTTTCGTGAAGCAACTGCCCTTGAGCTATTAGGTCTTCTTTGGAGGCGCTCGGGTGGCTGTCAGCAAATCCCACCCCTCCTGGCTGAGCCGTTGCTCTGCCACCTATCCTGGTGAAACTAGAAAGGTCTAAGGGCCACCAGTAACCCTATCTTCTAAAAAAAACACAACTTAATATAGTATGATCAATGTACGGAATAGGGCGCGCGCGTAGCTTTAAAGGAATTTTTGAAGTTATACTTCTTTGGGCACGTTTTGAAAAATTGATGAGAGTGAAATTTTACGATGCGCGCGCACCGTGACACAAAATTAACAGAAATGAAGTTGCCCGCTAAATCGCTCATTACAATACGACCGACGTAACTTGGCGAGTCTGAATATAGCCGCAGGTGAACTTTCCCGCATGTACACTCGTAAAAAAAAGTGTTATTAGCATTCATTTTTTAGTAATATAAATGACAAATTTATTATTTAATATAATTCATACTAAATATTATTAAATTATTAACGTTAAATATTTATTATTAATTATTTAATATTAAAAAAAAAAGAAATAAATTTAA